AGGTGCTCTTTGCTGTACTGTACCTGGGTTTAAAACTGCAAAAATTGAAACTACTTTGGAACTTTACGGTAACTTCTACAGAATAGAATCTGAACACTCCACTATATGTATGTATGTATGGAACATTGCGTTTGTTTAAGAATAAAAGTAGTGGACTACTTTTAGAATAGAATATAATATTATATAATAAACTTAGTACTCACTTTTGAATAGTGATATTTTTTTATTAATTCCGATTCTTTAATGTTTTAGGGCAGTTCTTTTAATGTCTTAGGGAGGCCATTATATTCTGTCAGTTTGACCATCATAGAGAGTTCACGGTAGCCTTAAAATTAAATAATCTATTTGCGTTTTTCAGTTGATTTATATTTGAACAGACATAATGCAGTATGGTATGCGGCGCGTTTTTTTGTTTTACGAGTACAATCAAATTTGACAATTTTATCTAATTAAAATACCTATATACCGTTTTCTTTTGACGTTTCCTTATAGTCGGGAACTGATACTTCTGAGTTTAAAAGGTCATAAGTCACTAAATACTATACCTCTCTTTCTTTTATGTAAATGGTATGAAAAAAAATATAAAAACTCCATGTTATTTGTGCGCTCAGGCTGGTAGAATCCTCCTATATCTATAGAAACTTTGACTATGTGAATCCAGATGTAATGGCTGTCATTAAGAGAATCTTCTTCCATTAAATTGTGTTTAATACTATTGTGTGCAGATAGTGTAACCCTCCCACCTTTGGTGTCCTGGCCATCAGTATAATAACGGCTTCATTATCTGAATTTGTCCATGTTTCAAATAGAATGTGTATGTATAATATTCTGAAAATTTTGGATTTGAATTTTCCAGGTTTCACAATACTGCGATTTTAAATAAATGTTGTTTAACATTACATACTTAAGATTTTGTGTGAATAAAAATAGCAAGATTGACAAAAGTAAATAAATATAGCAGTTACTTGTGTAAAAAAATAAATCAGTTCTCTCTACGTACCCCGTAAGAGATCTGGTATGACGGTAATTGATGATTTTAAATCGCAACGCAAATAGGTATAAAAAAGGCAGTATACATATCATATTCATGAGCATAATATTAGTTGTTATCGAGTTATGCCACAAATAAATCACCTGTTGATCGTTATGGTTACCGCAACAGTACTTAAGAGTATTACACAACTAAAACAAAAACATACCACTGTAATATGATGCGAACGTGATTCAGAAGTGGTTTTAATATAGCTTCTTATTAATATACGCCTCACCTAGTAACGACCGAGCTCATAATTTCGGCTACCTGTGCATCTCATCCCACTCGACAATCCGAAATAGCGCGCATCGCGAAAAACATCTCCAGTTTCTCGTACAATTGTGATTCAATGACCAATTTTTACCACCAATTTTTAGTACCAACAAAAAGAGGTAGAGCTTGTATACAGCCATCACCATCAATTTCTCATAAAGATGACATTTTTTTTACACTATATTAGGACAATATCTCTATAAAACTCAGAGAGACTGTACAAAGTTGTATAGGTCTATACCTCTGTTTTACCTATTTCCCCTACCAAGCAGCTTGATTCCTAAGCTGTTTTAGGTTAAAGGACAAATTGGAAAATCAAATTTGAAATTACGGCCGCATGAATCCTTATTTCTTAGATATGACAACGCAAGAGGCATTTCATAATATCCATTCCAATATACATGATTACAGTTATATACCTTTCAATAAGTAACATTTCCTTTACAATGAAATCTTTTGGTTGTTTATAGGATATTAATAATTAAGTTCTATATTAATAAACATGCGGCAATGGATATGAAATTTATCTGACATAGGCATTGCTATGCTTACTAGGTCACAACACAGTATTGTAGAAATAGAAAAGTGTTTAAAAAAAATAAACATTTTTTATTTTTCATCTACTCCCTTGTTACTGGATTTGCTTGGAGTTTTTCAACCGTTTGATGGTCCTGGCATCCGCACCGTGAATCCATGGAATGCCAAGTTCGTGTCTCTCTCTCTGTCAGTTTATATGACAATGTAAAACTAAACATAGCACTAATCTCATCGTTGAAAATTGTAACTAAGGCACTGGGCGACGGCCAAGTGATAAACTATTAGTCACTGCTGAATATTGAGTGATAGTCAATTTTTTATACCATTTGGCATCACAAACAAGTTGACGGAACATCTGGTGGAAAGTGGGCTATAATAGTCATGAAGTGCACAATAACTATGTATTGTTGATTTGTTGCTGCCACAGAAAAAAATGATGTTACGCGTACATACAAGTTCTCAACATCATACCTAAAAGAAAATATATTTTGCTTTTGGATTGTACCTTTAATCATCATCTTTGACGGCCTCGGTGGTCTAGCGGTAAAGCGGTGAATTGTCCAGGGTTATTAATTTATTATTTATTCTATGAAATATTATGTTACCTAAATGAATAAAAATATCCTTCAAATGGGAACAGAGCAAGCAAACTCCTTACTATACATACATACATTACTAGTATCTATGATGACATATAAAATTTCATTTAGATCGTTATATATACTACTAGCGATCCGTCCCGCTTCGCACGGATGCATTACAAATCTTTGATTTTTTCGGCTTTTTTTGTACTATATATAATATGACACGTACTACTGGTGAAGATTATTAATTGGGTATTTCAATCTGATCAGTAACATGTAAAATTATACCATTAATCGTCCTAAAATAAATCAATAAAATATAAATAAAATGTATCTTGAGTCATTCTATCTATTGCTGAAAATTGCATTAAAATCCGTTGCACAATTTTTAAGATATAAGCGAACAGATAGCGGCGGCTTTGTTATACATTATGTAAAGATTTTAGGTATATCAGTAATATATTTGGAGCATATATCGCACACCTATGTAGTAAAAAATACTAGATTTAGTAAAAGTAAAGTACAAATTTTGAATAATCCACTCAAAAGTATTAGGTTTAATCTAAAAATATATATTTCGTGTTAAATCAGTAGGTACCTACTAAATATGCGATAAGTAAAACCCGGATAGCGATTATTAATGCACTATCCTATAGAAAGCAACATAACGAACATGTTGTTAATTTGTACTCAATTCCACCCTACCCAATAAGTAGTGTAATGCTAATAAACAAAGTTATAATTTTCTACACATGTCACGCTAGCTTTTACAGTTAGCGTTTATTCCATCATCATCTAAATAAATACAAATACGCCACTGACTGCATGTTTCATGAAATATTTCTCTGACTAAAACGTAATAATAGCGACTAATTGATGACTGAGAGTGAACGCATCGCGAGTTCGCGGCGTGGGACTGATCATGTATGTATGTTGCAGACATAAATGCAATTCACGCGCACATTTCTGGAAGCCATACATATGGCAGTCCGTTAGCGATGTCAACGGGGAGCCAGTAATATCCTACCCCGTTCCTTGCATCTCGTATCTCATGCATCATTCCCCACCACCAGTCCGCTGGCTCATGCATTTCGCCCGAAAATAACTCGCAATATGCGTCAGCGCATGACTGATCTCAACATTAGTTGTAAGAATAATTTTGTCACTTACACAGACATGGTCAGATGAATCAATTGCAGCAAAATTAATTTTGTAAGTACTTAGTGACGCCATGTTATTTACAATGATGATTTCAATTAGTTTATCTCTGGCAATCTTTGAATAATATTCCGTTAAGTTTATTAATGTCACAAGGTACTGTCTTTATTTACTTTAGTCTTTTACAATACAGAACACGTTTAACCATTTCTTTTCACAAAGAGCAAGCCTAATTGTTTTTAACCATAGAGTATACAATAATAAATCAATGTTACCATTGAATAGATATAACGAATACTTTATTCAATGGTAACATTGATTATTATTGTATACTCTATGGTTATCTCTATTGTTATACTCTATGCCATCAAGCAGTTTGCTTTGTAAGCGTGTTGAAGAGCTATACTTATAATATGAAGTTACAGAACGAAGGACATATTAGGCCTTATATGCCGCAAAGCAAAGACATGAAGATACTACAATAGTCATAAATTGATTTGAGGTATCTATGGTATACCCCGTATAAACGGTGGATGCAAGTATCCAAATTGTTTACTATTATATTCATGTACAAAAAAAAAACTAAGCAAAGTTACTCTTACTGAACGTACAGGCTGCGTGTATATATTATCAGGCGTATAATGATTCCATGAAATATAAAAATATATTTATTATATAATATAAAACACGATGATTGAAAAACTGTTATTGAGTAAGTTCACATGGCGAGTATGTTGAATAAAGCATTTGTGCGAGAAATGAAAAGTTTGAAATAAAGACTCGATTTTAGCCGTTAACTTGTTACTAAGAAACTAATATCTTTTCTGAGAGAGAGACCCGCGTTGCAGTGAGATATTAACGAGTTTGTTATGGGTGGTTAGAGTGTTTGGAGTTCCGAAGAATGTTACGGAGCCAAGATGTCTCTATTCTAAAGGGTAAATTTGAACTGGTGGATGACAACAAATATTTTCTATCAATGTATTTTCTGGAACGAAGACGACATTCAGTTTATTATAAGGTGTAATGTTCTTAAATGAAATGCATAAACATCTTCATCATCAAACATTAATTACCAATGTATTTTCTGGTACGATGACGATATTAACTATATACTGTAAGGCGTAATCTTGTTGAAAAGAATGCGCAAGCGGCTTCTGTATCCTGTGCATGCACGCGAAATTTGCGGGTTGCGGGAGAGGGGCATCGGGGCGCGAATAGCGGCTGGTGCGCGAGAGTGGGGCGCGTGGAGGAGGGCACGCGGGAGTGCGCTCGTCTCGAAATAACCGCGTATTTCGGTCGAGCCGCCCCCCCGCCGCCGACAAGCAGCGCCGGCGCAGCGCACGCCGCTCTACCATCGCACTATCCGCTAACTATTCGCAATCGACCGACGTCTTGGTTGTTGGACTTGGGTTATAATGACTTAACTTCTGCTAAATGAACCCGTGGACTAGTATAAGTTTTTCGCAGTGGCGTATTTATTTAGAATCGGGCGAGCGCCTAAGCGACGTTTATCGTAAGATAAGGACTAGTAACGTCGAGTGAGAGTTTTTTTGTGCGTTGTGCTGCGGTGGCGGCGTGATGGAGAAGCAGTCGAGGTGGTCGGAGCAACGCTCGGAGCAGCGCTCCGAGCAGCGGGTGCAGCAGCACTCCGAGAGGCACGAGCAGATCGTGCAGCAGCAGGAACGCGTGCAGCGCACCGAGCACCACTACACGCGCCAGATGCTCACACAACAACAAGGTACCCTCTTTTTTACCTGACACCACCACACAATACTTACAGTACACATCAATAACAAACCTGGAATGTATGCTAAGCGAGTGGTGTGGAAAAATCATCATTATTCATGTGTCGAAATTCATCCAAATGTAGCTGGCGAAGCGGACCGAGCGACGATCGGCCAGCGAGTGTCTTTGGTTTCCTGGTGCGTAACTTTATTTGTGCATAGCGCTTTTCCACCGCGAGCGAGATAGTGAGGCTATTCTGGTGCGTGCGTGGGCGCTGGGCGCCGGGGCGCGAGCGGGCGGCCGCCTCGCCCGCCGTCGCCGCTCCTGCCGCCACCTCCACAGGAATGCGCACCGCCACAACTCATACTTTTCACACTTGTTTTTCTTACTACTTCGAGGGATGATCTCACTGTCTCCGCTCTACGTGCATTAAATTTCATGATTGCGAATTTCACCTACATAAACATCAGTACGAGTGAACTCGCTGCTTTCAAAAAGAGCACGAGGCTGCGAGTCAATGTTTTTTTTATGGAATATTTAAATCTTAAATGGCGAGGTTGTCGGCAACCACCGAGCGAGTTCACTCGCAGTACCCTCATTCAGATTGCAACGCGAACTCACGTATTAAGAACTTGTTTACTTATAAGGTACAAAGATGAATCCTAATATGGAAGCAGTACAAATATGTGTCCATTCAAGGATTAATTTTTATTATGATAGCTATAAAATCAAGAAAGTAGGTTGACTGATTGTAGATAATAAAATCACATATACAGAAAAATATATTCATATACTTATCTACACATTTACTTATTTTTTATATTCTTAGATACTCACACTGTCTTTATTTTTACTATTGAACTTAACACTTGATTGACTTCTACAAAGATTGATATTATGTTTATGTCGACTATATGTATATATACAAACACAATACCTACTTACGTAATACAATACACACTACCTCACGATATAGGTATTAATTTCTCTCTCATTAGAGATTGTCGCATGTTTCAACCATCGATCGGCGGCATAATAGAAGCACGGTCATCGCAACACAGGAGAAAATGTGATGGAATGTAACATCAGATACATGACAGACTCGTAATTACCACACGGGACTTGCGATCAGCTCAATCACTAATTTCTAGAAAATGTCGAGCGTTAATTTGTGTATTTCTTCGATCGTTCGGTCCGCGCATTCGGTATGCAGTCCATTGCGATCTTGATCGTGAATTCTAAGTAACTCTTTCACTGCATTCCGTTAGAGATCCGATTATGATTGCTGAGATTAACAATACGTAATTTATTCTTGCATTCGTTTTAGATATCAGTAGTCGTGCGAGGTCTTTGAACTTTGCACTTTGAACGCTGGACCATTGTCCAGACACTGGTATTACCACTGGTATTTAATATTACCACACCAGGGCTTCTGTTTGTATCGTAAACCTGTCATAAATATTACAAACTTATTAAAATTTCTTTTATGCTTATATATAAATAAATAATATACAGTATAGCGTAAATTGCACTTCGTAATAGTGTTATTATTTATTCTAAATATATTAACATATTATTAAATTATCGTTAGAGAAGTTTGTTTCAAGGTGACATTACATATGTATATACACAGATAATATAACATTTTTCAAATTATATTTATTAAAAAATTATGTGATTAGAAGTGTATAGTTTAATATGTACAATGTACAAATATTCTATCGACTAAAATGTACTTGTACAGTTAAAAATATGATATTAATAGTCAATATCGTCGACATAAGTGAATTATGAAAGCAGTTGTATAAACGAACGTTTTGCTGTTGTGCTAAATGAACCAACAGTCACGCAAACAATATCATTTCACGATGTTGCGTGACTCATATTATTAATATGTATGTGTATTAAACATTAGTGAAATGAAATTAATACTTGTTGTATAATATCGAGATAGGCGCCGGTAGATAGTTCTTTGAGCACCGAAGATAGGTTTTACTACTTTATCTAAATAAGAACGATATCGCGGGAAGAAGAGCCATATTTATCCTCGTACATACATGAAATCTTAGACATATAAATTTAAAAATACAAGTTCCTTTGTACAGTAATAAACAAAATGTATACTAGAATAATGAACTGAAAAATAAGAACTACTAAATTTAAATAAAACTTTTCTTACTAAAATCTAATTTTCATATCAAATTTCAACACCCAATAGATACAATAGACGTGTAAACTTACTTTCTAATTTACAATATTAGTAAATAGTCACTACAATTGTTGAAACAGTATAAATTTCTTCATTTAATTGTTTATAAAAAATACACCAAGCGGTTAGATGAACGTAGGACAATAAGAAACGTACAAAACTCTCACTTTTTCATATTAGCATGATAACGAATCATTAACGTGTATACTTTACATATCTATAGTAATATTATAAAGGCATAAATTTGTAGGAGGTAATCTCTATATCTACAGAAAATAAATTTTGTGTTAGATAGTCCATTTATAGGAAGAAACATAATATTACACTACAACAAATAGAAGGGAACTGAAATGAGAATGTTCAGGTGGATGTGTGGTGTGACAAGAATGGATAAGATAAAGAATGAATACATTAGAGGAAGTATGAAAGTGGCACCGGTGTCAGAGAGGTTGAAGAGTAATCGTCTATCATGGTATGGACATGTAATGCGTAGGAACGAGGATAATATTTTAAGAAAGATGTTACAAATGAATGTGGATGGTTATAAGGGCAGAGGAAGGCCAAAAAAGAGATGGATGGACTGTGTGAAAGATGATATGGTAAGAAAGGAAGTAAATAACGCGATGACTGCGAACAGGGATGAATGGAAGCGAAAAACATATTACGCCGACCCCAAATAAATGGGATAAGGAAGAAGCAGATGATGAACAAATAGAAGCGAAGTTGCAAGGAAAAATATTGGAAAAACGGAGACATAGATCAAGTTGTCAGCGTATTGTGTTGCGGGACAGCTAGTAATATTATAAATACAAAAGTGTATTTGTCGGTTTTTTTATTGTTGACTTATAATTTCTAAATAGCTAAACCGACTTTTATGTATATATTAGCTGTACCCGCGGATTCACCCGCATGGAATTTATGGCCTATATGTTACTCTTATGTATAAGTTATATTACTATAAAGTTTCATCAAAATCCGTTCAGTAGTTTTCGCACTCACAAACTTTCGCGTTTATAACTAATATTAATAAGAATAAGATTACAGAGACAGATATATGTTGAAATTTATTTAAAAAAACGGTGAAAGATACAAGTTATATGTCATATATTTGTATATTTCAATAGAAACGCATGTTATATCATATATGAAGGGACTAACGTACTAGAAATAGACCAAACTCCTTAAATCAATATAGAAATGAAAAAAACAAATCAGCTTATTATAACCATTACCTAACGATTTGTTAAACATGCATATCTCGTAATCATTACACGAACATTGCATTTGTAACGTGTGTTGTTTTTGCATCCGATCGGTTAATTATCAGTTTTCTATTTCTATATACGACTGAGAACCTCGGAATAATGGCGTCGTTATATGAAAAACAACAGCGAAATGGCACCGGGACCGATTTCACTCTTTCTTCACGATTGACGCTCAATAGCAGCCTCTGTGGTCTAGCGGTTTAACATACCGCTTTACCTTAGATGGTCGAGAGTTCGATTCTTTACACTTTGTATTCATGAGTATGACTGTTTGTATTGGTCTGATAATTTTATAGATGCCTATAGCCAAACGTTAGTAGCCCATTCTTTTTATGATCTTTAAAGTATGTTAAACATTATTAAATATATACATTGTATGTAATTGGTTGTCTTTCAAATATATTTTATTGCAATATATACATATGAAGCCAAAACTTTTATATACCGCGTTTTACGAAAATGACATAGGAAAGTTTATATACACATATTTTTACACTGTTTTTATAAATAAAATAATATTTAATAAAAACGATACACACTCTACCATCTTTTTGACACACGCTTATTTTTATATAAAACATGTTTAGTTTTACACAATAAATAATAGTTTATTTACTAACGAGTAGTTAGCAAATAGGTGTTCATTCACTTCACCAATTCAAACTTATATTTATATATTATGCTCGAATTTAAACCACTGGGGTACCACTAATACAAATACAAAATCACATATCTAATAATAAATATAATAGTAATTATTTAGGAAACCTATACACAAAATAGATATAATTCATGTTATTGATATAAATGATAAATATTTAATAAACTACTGGCTAGTAGTTGATTAAATATATGTATTACATTACATTAATTAAATTCGATCTTTTGAGTACTTGAAACAATCTGACAACGTTCTATTAAAATGTGAATCTGTCGGGTTTTTTTAACAAGACGATAACTAAATGTTCTATGAATACAACGTATCACTTACGTTGTATTCATACTACATTTTGTTAATGAAAGACACAATGAAATTGTGTTATACGTCACGGCAACAGAATAGCTAGATGGTCATCTCGGTTCCATAGCCGCCCGGTTCCGTCTGGCGGGTAGATGGAACGAGAATCGCTCATTAAAACATAACACGTTAACTGTAGACCGTCTCGGTGGCTGCCCTCGACTTATCTGCACTAGGTATAGCCACCTAATCTTACAACTTGATTACTGTTTTATGGTTAGCTACGAAAAACAGATAAATGCTGGTAATTGTGTTTGTCGTTTGTATAAATCTTGTAGGTACACCATGAAATAGAAATCTTAAGTATAGTCTCTCAACGAAAGTGCAAGTCAAAACGTTCAAATTCGGATGTGCTCACTCGTCCGGACAAAATGGAATTATTCAGCAAACAAACCGTCTTCATAAGAGCTGATTCATTGTTAAGGGGCTTATTACACTATCATATATAAGCAGCGAACTCCTTTTATATTGTTTTGAAAATTTTAAATTATATTTTGTTGACTTAATCTTTTTTGTAATAA